TCAATCAGATCAAATTGAATAAAACCTTAAAAGATAAGGTAGATTGTGTTCTACAAAACTATACATCGGCAAAATAATTTGTTAGCGACGTGACTTTGCAAAATTAAAAGGCGTATATCTCGAAATAATGAACTTTTCTAGAGCTAATTTTTATGTTTTATATGTATGTCAAGTTGCTCAAGACGTCCCTGAAAAAGTCAGTTCTAGAAATCTTTTTTCAGCAAAAGTTACCACTAAAAAAGGAGCATTAGCGATGTTACTCAACAATCGACATCGACTTTCGCTTCATGCAGTTTAGCTTAAAAAGATTCTAAATTGATGAAGCATTTTTGAAAATTATATAGTAAGTTCTGAGACAACTCCTAAAGCTAGAAAATCTTTATCTTAATTTTTTTCTGAGCATGCCTAGATTTTTGAAAAACATTTTATCTACTTTTCGCTAGAGACGTGGCGAGTACGAATATACAAACGAAAAAATGCTCTCGTGACTGAATGAGAAGTTCAAAACCAATTTCAAACGATATTAATGCTTCTTCGCAATCGTTAGATGATGATAAGATTAAAGCTTTTGTTTCGAGACTTGATGGGATTTTTAGAAAGCCGGTTTTCATGAGAAAAATTTTTGGAGTCTGTTATTATTGAAAATTTCGCCAAAAATATAGTTCATAAATAGAGTCTATTCTGAAATTTTTGGATTGTTTTCTTATATGTTGAGAGAAAGTCAAATGAAAGGTGGTTATGTCCCGTTTTACCTGAAACTACTCATATTTTAATTTTCTTTCAATAAATTCTTAACACATCTGTGAAGAGTAAATGTCCAAACGACGACGATGCAAAGACCATGCAATAATATTTAAAAATTATATGCTATTTTATATTATTCCCATGAAACAAAATTATCAAAAAACATTCAGACCGACAATAGTTTCTTGTGGATCTGTTAGGGCAAGAAAAAAGTTGCACAAGATACACTTAAAAACGTATACGAAAGATATGCGCATAGTACTTTAATATAGCCCAACAGATAGAAGAAATATTACTCTGAACTAACAGTTTTTTATGGTATTTTCGAAATTTGTCCATCAAACGACAACATGATCAAGACTTTTTCGAAATTTGAAAATTAGGTAAGGAGGAAACAACGATTTATGATTTTGTGAGTTAAAATGAGTTTATGTGATTTAAAGTATGTAAATGATTCTTTTTTCGTAAATGAACTTTTAGAATTATTTGCGATTGCTATCTTTTATGCAACAAATAGTTGAAACCTGGAGTGCTTTTGCTATCTTTATTCAGACTGTTGATAACATCATTACCAGAACAACAAATTAGTACACAAGAAAAAGATAAGGATAAAAGTTATAGCTAGGTGGCTTTGTGTATGATGAATACTTTTAGATCAAAACATATATATATATATCTTATAATCTTCTTCCCTCTACATATTCGAGTAATCAGATATACTTATTGTCGATGCAAGATAGATTACACGTTAGTTCATTTTCTGAAAAATAGACATAGACAGATACATTATTCATTTTTTTCTAGTAATAGAAACATAATATATGAAAGAAAGAAGATAGAGAAAAATTATGTCTCTTGAACTCAATCTATCCAATCAGAAGACAGAATAGGTTTAGTTTTTGAAAGATACCGATATGCAGTCTATTTGTACATATATTTTCTATGACCATTCGTCTCGATGGAAAAGAAAGATTCAGATTGACAATACATCAAAAGTACTATTTTTGGAGCTTGAAAATCCAATATCTCTTGAACAAAATCCGGTGAGTAGGAAATATTTTCTAGTTTTTCTAGACTCATTACACTCTATTTCTGCTCAAAATATGAGCTCAAAAACTCTCCTTAAGTTGTGGATCTTGCCTCGCGAGACCCATATCGACACTCTCACCATTCGCCTGATTGAAGATGGCCCGTATAGTTTCATTGCCTTAATAGAAAATTTAATATTTCTTCTGTATAGATAATATTCAAAATTGAATAGAGCTGCATTGATGGCATGCATGAAATATTTAATATATGTACAGTTCCTATTGTGCGATCTCTAATTATATTATATCAATAATATAATATTTAAATCTTGCGAAAATTTATTTCGATGATATTTATTTTTGTGATAGTTCAATAGATTTAAAAAAACAAAGGATTAACAACAATTTTACGAAAATTTTTTTATTTGACATGATACAATATATTTTAATGACCAATTATTTTTTGCATAATGGATTGTCGAAAATTAATCATAGGTTTTCGAAAAATATTTCTATCATTTAAAGTATTAATATAAAATTGCATTTCAATTGCAAAATAAATCATAAGAAAAGTTATTTGATAAATAAAATTTTCAATCGTCGTTTATAACAAAGATTTTTCAATATTCATTGTTAACGTTGCATAAAGCTTTTGAACAACCACAGGAAAAGTTGAAAAAGCAAATAAAATCATTCGAATTAAAAGCATAATAAATATATGATGATGACTAACTACTTCCAAAGGACGACTTACAACATTAACTTCAATAGCAGGTTCACAATACGATCATGACTCAAACGATTATTTGAAATAGTCACTCAACCAAATATTTCAATTAATATCAGAGATAAAACAATCGTCATAGTAGCAAATAATAAATCATTTATTAATCGACATGTTTCATTTTTACTAAAATATTTAAGAGGCCTATTATTGAAATTTGATTCATAACAATAAACAATTTGACAATGAATAATTAATGATAAGAATGTTAAGAGAAAAATACTTCGTCCAATCTTTTTATATCAACTCAATTGTCGAAAACGTACACTAGTAAATAATATAAGCCATCATCAATAGTAGCTACCACAAGGAATCAAAAGTTAATAATCGAAATGCGAATAAAACGAAACGACGAAATTTGCAAATTCATCTAATAGAACCTGATAGATCAGCATTCTAATTGGGCATTATTCGAGATGTGAGACCAGATAGAATAGTGACAATAGCAGCTATCAAACAAGCAAGAAAAAATATTGCCTACGATACCCATGAAAAAAAATCAAACTTCGAAAATAGAAGTCTATTTAAGAGACAATAGTCTTTAGATATGGAACATGCACAATCCTGAAAACAGTTTTTATTACCAGTTGAAAAAAATAAAACAATTATAGATAATAGAGATTTTTTTTTGTTTTTTTGCTGTCGAAAATTACATTTCATATGGTTGCGTTTTTATGTCATACAACGTATTCTTTTTGAATTTGAATCTTTTTTCGCCTCCTAAATTCTAGTTAAAAGAACAAAAGATGAATTAAATAGAAAAAAAAGCGACAATTTTCATCCTCAAAAATTTTTTCAATTCTAATGACTCTCCAGATTAGTGAAGAACGGGTAAAAGGGCTAGTCTTTTTTCTATTCCTAACAACATGTCTTCCTATTGACTAACTGAAGGTATAGCTTACTGCTACATTGGACAGTGATGTTTATTCAACTACTTTATATTTTTAAAATGATTCTGCTTCAAATGCATCGCACACTTATATAAAAGAGGGAACAAGAGAGAGAGATGAACATAGGAAGGAATAATAGAGAAATGATAATGAAAAACGAGAAAAGGAAGATCAATGAAAAGGGTGTGGGTGTGGGCGTCGGTGGGTGTGAATGTGAGGGTGGGGGTGGGAGTGGGAGTGGGAGTGGGTGTAGGTGCGGGAGTCGGTGTGGGAGTGGGTACAGGTGTGGGAGTGGGTGTAGGTGTGGGAGTCGGTGTGAGAGTGGGTGCAGGTGTGGGAGTTGGTGTTGGTGGCAGCATTCTATTTTTCATATCCACACTCGCCACACCCACACCCACACCCTCCATTTCTGGACCTTGCTAAGGAATTTAAAATAAGTACAGCGACAGTATCCAGGTATAATAATTCCACATTGAATCTATACGAAACTGCTGATATTAATGTTCTTATTGCGAATGTTTCAGATTATTCGATCGGTAGATCAACTTTTTGTACTTGAGATTTGCAAAGATGCCAATATTTCTAAGTGCCGAATATGTACAACAACATTTACATCCTTCATTCAATTCTTTTCCAAAATGTGTGTTGATAATTGACAGCTTTCCAGTGTATATTCAAAGACAAAAAAATTGAACGGCTTAGTCAATCACGTATAACGATTACTATGGAGGAAATGTGATGAAAGGATTAATAGTTATTGCTCCAACAATTGATTTTCCAATTGTCTTTCTCTCGGAACTGCTCTCTGGTGTATTTTCAGACAAGGAATTAACAATATGTTCTAGCTTAACAAAATTGAATTATCTTCCAGGTGTCGAGATAATGGCTGATAAAGGTTTTCATCATCAAGATATTGAAAAAGAAAAGCAATGGCAATTCGTTATAGCTTCATTTTTAGATCAATCAGGTTCTTAAAATTTTATGTATAGAGACAAAAATGCAAAAATCAAGTCAAAAATAGAAGTACATTGAAAAAAGACTTTAAAAAAATCTTCCTCATCGTCTTCGTTACAAAAAGATACATCAAAACAAAGATTATCTTGTTCTTCTTATGAAGTAGATTGCTCAAATGCAGGAGTATCTTTCTGAAACATCGTTAAAAAAAAGGAATAGCATATTTATGATAGAAATTTTTTAAAGAAGGAATATTTTTCAGAATCTAGTTTTGACAATGAAAAATTCGTCTATACTTAAGCCTTTGAATGTAAAAACAATAAAATCGTAGCAGGGCGATTGCGTCAAGAAAAGTTGTGTTTGAACCCGATGAAAATAAGAATGATCTTTTTTTAGTTTTGGAAATCCCCCATCATTCTCTATGAAAAAGTTTTTCAAAACAACGGCTTCGCTTGGTTTAAGAAAGCGATCGGAGTAAGGACATTTAATCTTTGCAATTCCAAAAGTGACATTTTCTCCTTCACAACAACGGACTTTGGCATCAAGTGTAGCCCCTAGCCAAAAATAGTCTGATTGTGTGACGAAGACAGAGACAAAAATTTAAACTTCAAAATCTTTTGACACCATGGCTTTTTTATATTTGTTCAGTGCTTTTGACTCGTTTTCAATGCCATAGTGTATTGGACGAGGAACAGCAGAAATTTGAGAACCAGTGAAAGAGCTAAATAAATTTTGTAAGAAAGGATCAGCAGGTGAACGAACACGGTTCAAAATAGAGCCCACTTGTGAAGCTGAGATACGTTTCGTATGTGCATTGCGCCACTGCTGACTACTACTTTGTCCTGTTGTACCTGCTTCTAACTCGACTGAGTCAATATAACTGACCACAATATCCATAGACCACCATACATCATCATTTGACAGGTTTAATTCAGTTAATGATGGCATGGGTTTCAATGGAAATGAAGGATAGATTGTATTATTTTTGTCATAAATAGGTTGAACACAGTCTGCAACCAAAAAGAGAACCTCTCTCTCTCGGTATGTTCATGTTGATGTATTGCTACTGAACTGATGGAATACGTGGCCCCAAAGTTGCTGTTGACTGTGAAAAGGGACTGCGGTTTTCCGGTGGCATGATCGGGAAGAGTAGAAAAAGGAAAGTTCAATACGTCAGATCTAATTTTAAAGTGTTTTAATAAATCTAATTCAGGAGGAGAACGAAGATCTGGCACACAAGCCTAATAAAGAGGTTCTTTCACTATGATGTTAGAAGAAGAAATCGTCGATATAGTTGAAGAAGCAGAAGCCTGGCGATAAACGGTCCAAGTCATTTCTGTTGCTGACATATTGATCATATTCGTTGGCTTTGGCACTCTCCATGAGCATGGGCCGATGGTGGAGAAAAAAAATCTTCGCGTGGCAGAAAATCAAATTTTCGTAGTTGGTACCAGGTCAGTCAGTCTAAAATGGAACACACGTAGCTGCAGAAGTCAGAGTTCTCATATTTACAGTTACATTTTGCGGTGACACTTGACAAACCTCCAGGAAAAATAGATTTCTTTTTACAAGCCTTTCAGAACAAAGTATAAAGTTACACTCACCAAGCATATTCAGATCAGCAAAACTAATTTTAACGCAGCAAATGTTTTACTTTGCCATGCTGTGTTTCACGTTGGACGCAATATCAGCTGTATGACGATTTCTTCTTCTAACATCATAGTGAAAGAACCTCTTTATTAGGCTTNACAGAGAATTTCACGCGCTTTCAGAATATATGCGTACTTTTGTAATAACTTGTTCCTATATTAAAAATATTTTTGAAAAAATGGATGAAGAAACAAAATGCGTTTCCAGCGAATCTGGCGACGAGGGTCCTTTGTTGTACTTGAATTTATTTTTAGCAAACAAGTGTAATTCAAAACGTACATATATAGATTTGTAGAGAATTCCACAGGCTATCCGAATATATAACTACGTTACTCAAAATGTTAATTTATAGTGATGATATATCAAGAATATCGTATGACACTATTTTTTCCAGGGGGATATATGAAATGCTCATATCTTTTGAGATATCGTGTATATTCGGTTTTATTTTATCTCTATATCATTCAATATTCAATCATATATTACCATCATATGTATCTGGACTAATATGACAAACTTCCATAACATCGAATTCTTTATAAAAATCATTAAATGACATCCAAAATTCTCCATCATGTTTTCTTTGTATACTTAATCTTTTTCGTGTTTTTTCATCAAGTAAATTCCAAACAGGATCAGCATCAGACCATTTTCCATTCCATTCAATATCGTTTCCCCATGGATTTCGAAAACGTATTAAACCACGATCACTTAATTTTGATAAATGATTATCATATGTTAATGGTAATATATGATAATTAGTTATTGAATATGTATGACCAATAACAAGACCATTTGATAAAATTGTTTCTATTTTTCGTTTATCAGCATTTATTGAACAAGCTATAAGTGAACCATAATCAATACATGATTTAATAAAATCAAATAAATCATCTGGATGTAAATGTGTTATAGATAAATTTGATTTAAATTCAAAACGTTGTTCAATACCACCAGTAAAATCTGTTAAAGCATTTACTGGTAAACCACCACCTAAATTTGTATAATTTCCATTTAATTTTGCATAAGCTTTTTCAAGTAATGAAACCCAAAATTCATTTATTTCAAATAGATTTCTTGCACCCCATAATCGTTTTTGTTTTGTTAAAAATGGTAAACGATCATCAATAACAATATCATACCATTGTTGATAACGCCAAAAACGAAAATGAAATATACCAGCTAAAAATATATCTAAAATTTCTCATCGACTCACCATACCAATCTTTATTAAATGATTGATCAGGTGGAATAACTCGTTTAAGTACTATACTATTTTGTGTTAAAGCACTCATAGCTGCTATAAACCAACAATTACCTACAGAAATAAGATTATGATTTATATTCACTTTATTTTTTTTTTAAAAGAATTCACCTAAATCACCTTGATTTGGATCTGTACGTTTGATTCCATTGACAATTAATTGTGGATCATCGACAATTTCATTTGGACGTTTCCAAGTAATTTCACGCCAATTGGGAATTAATTTTTGATAATTATTCGATAGAGATTCTGGTTGTGCTGGAAAAATTGAATCTTCAAAAAGTTTTCGTTCATAACGACATTGTAAACGAATTGATTCAAAATCTTGACCTTCATATAGTCGAATTGTATGTTCCCACTTTATCATAGTTTATCAATTATATGAAACAAGCTATAAGTATATGAATTCATTGTATTATAGTCTACTTTAAAAAAAAAGGACAATAATTCAATCAATCGAACGCGCTTGTTTTTTTTTTACAATTTTTTTCGATCCTAAGAATAAAATCAATCTAGTTCAAACTTTAGTCTGACGAGATAACATCACTAAATTGATACGTTCCGTTGGAACTCGTATAGTGCTCGTTAGTAAAACTCACAGAGTAGAGAAAAATTCCAAAAGAATTCGTCCCATAGTTACTGCATTCCAATGAAACAAGCATAACAATTTTCTCTAAAAATGACATTACCTACGCATAGTTATATATTATGGAAAAAACAGCTATACTTTACTTAATATTTTATAGATACATGGAGAATAATCTGAAGAAAAAGCATGTGAAAAATTGAAAGGTTCATATGTGCTACAGAGTCGATTATATGTAGCTCAAATGTGCAGAAAAAAAAACGATGAATGAATACTTAGTAAGATGTAGAGTCTGTAGCATTATTACTAGTGACACGTAAAGACAATCAATTATATTTTAGTGTATGATTCAGCAAGAGAAATCTTTACAACTTACCTGAACTATTGCTATATAGCATACAGATCAAAAATGCTAAAATAGTTGTTGATAATTATAGTTCTAATAAGATGCCAAACGAAAATTACCTCTCTTATAAACTGTCATTAGTTGCATAGTTAATGCTGCTTGCAGAGACTGTGCGAGAGTCATAATATTGGAGTAGAAATATATAGATAGAAATATCATAGAGATCTATAGTTTGCATTATTCAAGAGAAAGATCCAAGTCTATCAAAGTATTTTGAAATAAGATTGGTCAACTATTGAATAATCATGTGAGTTCTTGATAAAGATTTTCCCAGTGTACGCAAGGTTGATATTCCTAGCTTGTTCCATTCGAAAGATATAAGACTTTTCCTGAGACCTACGATTTCAGCTGATGAATCTGGGATCAGTAAGAAAATCAGTTAGACAGGAGTAATTCATCATGATGAGTCGAACGATGACATTTGTTTCTAGATTCGAACGAACTAAGATCTAACACCGTTATCTCAATATTTTCGAAATATCGACTCCTTCATTACATGGAGATTGATTGTGCGATTTCAGAAATATTGAGAGTACAGTGTCAGATCAATTTGAACCCATAAAACAAGTATCACCATTTGATTCAATATGATAAATTATCTCTGCCTAACTGCTTTTCTCGGTGATCACAGATAAATTAGCTGGAATCGAAGGTCTCAAGAAAAGTTCTATAAATCTCAAACAGACAAGCGAAGAATGTTGGCCGTGCGTAGATTGAAAAAATTTTCACCAAGAAGCCACCCTATAGTTCAATATCTGAACAATCAAATTTTGATATGTTTTGATAATCCCAAATCTTCTCTTTTTAATAGTGAAAACCGTAAGTCTCTATGATGTTCCTATTAAAAGTTATTTAAGAAACAGTGAAGCACATTATATCTTGAAATGGACAGTAGTGTTTCAACATTTTACACCGTCATCGTTCGACAATCACACTACTGCAGTATTGCTTTAGTTTTCTGTTTTTTTTGTCTCTTACAAGCAGACTAAATTGATTTTTATCTCTCATGAAAATTATATTTAGTAATAGAAAAAATATATAAAACCAGAATCAACAAGTGACTGTTATGTTTTTTTTTCTAAATCGATTGATCTTATGATGTTGCATAATTTGAGAAATGATTTACATATCAATCAACAAGAAAAACTTTTATTTCTATAGGTATATAACAAATACAATTTCACATCATATTGACAATGGATTCATTGATTCAATGGCAAATTTATTAATAAGAACTTTTATTCAAGGTTACATTTGTCAATATAAGAATGCAGCTGGTGTTTCTTCTTTCTTTCTTGATTTTCATATGACAAGAGTGCTTTTATTTCTCTTCATCTGTTGTTGATTATAAATCAAGTTTTTTTTTTTTTTTTTTTTTTTGATTATAATCAAAACAAAATACCTCTATAGTCGGTAAAAATCATTTCACAATTGTGAATGTTAATCTGTTTGTGAGTAATGTTCAAATGTGTTGAGCTTCAATGATTATAACATATAAACTCATCAACAAATCATTATAATCTACTGTTCTCTTTCATTATATTTAAATGGAAAAATGATGGTGAAATATTTCTTTTTCCTTCTTTTCTTTTCTTACTGTTCTTTTTGATTACGATTGAAGAATAAAAATACAATCATACTTGACAAGAAAGCAAGTTCATTCAAGAGTAGCAAATCATATAAAATAAATCGTAAGACATACTGTTCCATGCATCATTTATTGTCTAGTTAACATCTGTTCTCATGTTTCTTAAATTATTATGTACTACTACTATTACTACTACCTGCATCCATCATTGAACTGTCGGCTTTGCATTTACATTTATTCTCGTTCTTGTTCTCTTTCTCTCGGCACTTATCAATAAAAACAGAGACGAAATCTGTCATTTGCTATCAACATTCTTTTATTCGACAACTAAAAGTAGTAGAGTAATCGTCTATTCGATTGCATGCATATAAACTCTCCAACCTTCTCTCGATATCTTTAAAAGTTGCGTGTTTGTTCTCTAGAGTATCCGTCGATTCCGTAAGTACGACTAAGTAAGTAATGATGAATAAATCGGTTTACACATACGAACATGAGAAGCATTATTTAGCGGAAAAAAAAAAGAACAGAAAAAAAAAAGGGAACGATGGATAATGATTAATGAACAGAGCAGCTAGTCATGGTAAATAATTAGAATGAAAGCAAACTAAAAGAAGAAAAAAAAAAAAAAAAAAAAAAAAAAAGAAAAATTATTCTTTTTTTCTTATTGTCGCATTTGATACCAGAAAGTAATGTACTGACACGTCAATTTTTAAAAAAGAAATTTTTCTTTTCGCCTTTTTTAAACGAATAATTTGATAGACGGTAAGCTGTTAATGACAAGAAAACTAGTCCTTTATATTTATGGATTTACTTTTCAAGTTGAAAGAAATTCAAAATTTGAAAGGTATCGTTTTTTCTCGACAAACACATTGTTTTTTTTTTTTGTTAAAAAGTACAACATTTTCAGCTTCTCTTTTCTTATCAGCTTCTGAAAAGTTGTTTTTCGAGTGCAGCATTAAAAATTGAGTATTTACAAGTTGTTAAATCTATTTCGATTCGAAAAAACTTTTGATGGTGGTGCCTCGAACTACCGCCATAATGTTTTCTGATACTACGAGTTATAAAAGTATGCACCACTTGTTTTCTATATTGCTGCATTGTTGAGAAAAAAATTTTTTTTTTTTCGATGAGGAAAGATTTCCAGGTGTGCGAGTCTACGTTTTCAGTCGGGTTGACATGAGTTTGCAGAGCTCAATGAATTAATCACGATGCCATAAACCGCTTGTCTCTATAAATTGTCATTGAGGAGTTAAGTCAAGTTGAGCTTCAGAAAAATAGCTGTAAGCTATGATTTCAGAAATCTAAATTTTTATGTTATTATTTAGCTCTCAGCATTGAAAACATTAAAATTGCATGCGCCTTAATTGAATATACACACCCACATAACCAACACAAATATGAGTCCTAATAACTTACATATTTTGAATATTTCAATAGCGTTAATCTTGTAAATATACGGAACTCAACTATTTTTTCACAATTCATCTGATACTACTTTTCACAAAAATCTTCAAAAAAAAACAACTAAATAGAATGAAGAACGTTGCAAGCGAGATATCTAGTAAGGTTTTAATCATTGCATCGTAAAAACAATAATGCAGAGAATTTCGATCAGCTTTGCAAAAATAGTTGAGTTACGTCCATTCACAGGATTAATGGTATCGAAATATTTAAAGTTTAGATGTAATTAGGACTTCTATTTATGTGGATTGTGTGCATGTGTATTATCAAAAAGAGCTCATACAATGTTATAGTTTTTAATGCTGAGAATTAAGCTAACATGAAAATTATAATTTCCAAAATAGCACAGGACAGAGTTATTTTTTTAAAGTTCAAACTCATCTAACTTCTCTATGATAGCTTATGAAGAAGAACGACTTATGTCATCGCGGTTAGTTCATTGAGCTCCACTAACTCTTATAAAAGTCGTTTAAAAACGGAAATTCACATTCAGGGACCTTTCATAGTAAGCTTTGAATCAAAGAGCTGGTGGGCGGAAAGTTTTGAGGCAAAATTTTCTTCCATATGAAAGTATTTCAGAAGAATCAAAACCTATGAATTAGAACCAGAATTTTATATCTGCTATTGCCCGAGAACAATGAAAGAATCTTTGAATGTCCTGAAAAAGTAGTTTATACAGTGAACAAACTCCTTTTTGCTATCCTTAGAAGTTCCTTTTATCATGTAGTTTGTACACAAATGAAATTATAAGCATTTTCTAAGAAGCTATTTCGACATTAAACGAACTTTAATAAAAAAAAAAAAAAAAAGTCGATTTTTCAAAAATGATGAGAATAGTAAGACAAAAGTTTTGATGTTTTATGGGAAAATGAAATAGCACGTTTTTTATAGCAGAATTTGTTCTATAATCATTTATATAAACCAAATTTTCAATGTTGAGTTTTGATTCTCAATAGAAAATGTACGAAAGTATTTCTGCCCAAACTAATTTTTTAGCTCTTTCAAAGATTGTCCTATTTTTCTCGTGCAACAATAGATATAAATTTTCTGAGCCCATATTCAAAAAAGGCACAAAATTCTGGTTCTAACCCATAGTTTTTGATTTTTCTGAAAACACTTTCATATGGACGAAAAATAAGCAAACATTTTGTTTCAAAACTTTCAGTCCAACCGTTATTTAAAATTCCACATATCACATTCAGAATCAGACTGAAAATTTAAATCTATTGATGTGTATTTTGAAATTTATTCTTACATGTGGCTCTTTTTTATGGAAATTTCAGGCAACGCTCTTGTCATTTCAAAACAATTAAAGTCTTTGACAAT